CAATGCAAATTAGGAAGATGTCATCTCACAGGAGGTAACCACTGTCCTGGGGCAGGGCTCAAAGCCAGTGCCAATATTCCAGGCTCAGAAACTCATACCCCTTCCACACCGGAGTCTGTGCTTTTTCCTCAGCACCTCATTGTTTTCCTGCCTTGGGTTGTTCGCTCAGCACTGAAACGGTTCGCAGTGCAGCACAGATAGGTTGTTTGCAGGAGTAATGACTTCTGGAAATGTGTGTGTAAGTGCGCAGCGGTCCGTGTGTGTTGTTTCATGCTCCTTGCTGACTCAGGTAGAGAGTACTGCCTTGGTTGCGCGCGGCTTGTGCTTTGAAGAGCTTCTTTTTTTGGTAAGCCCTAGGGCTGAACTAACTAGGTGCTTGCTGAGTAAGAGGGGTCTCTGGCTGCAACTGACAAAAGTTAGTTGCAGAGCTTATGGCTTAGGAGGTAGATTTTGAATGGCTTGTTTGGGACAGGGGGGAAATCAGGGAGAAGAAGGATTTTACTAGGTTCTGGAAAGTCAAGGCTTTACCATATCACAAAATATTATGCAATCACGCACAAACCATGCACCATCCTCACCAAGTAGACCCTGCACTGCCTTGGAAGGAGCCGTGCTTTTAAGTGTAGCAGAAAATTTGGGCTTTGTAATTAAGAAACTCTGCAGCACCCCTCATCCACCTGTGGCACCCTCCCTGGAGGAGTTTCCCTAACTCCTTGTCCTACAAAGCCTGTACTACCATGCTCCATATTAGACAGACTGGGCTTACGGGCTTCTCATCCAAGCCTCTCCCTCTCCCCATCCACCTGGACACCCACTCAAGGTCTGCTTCTGCCCACAGGAGAAGGGACGACCCTCACCTCTCAGCAAGCCTGGAGCCCAGGCAGAGCTGAACAAAACAAGACAGAGTCCTGCTGGACCTCATTGGGACTACCAGGGGAGTCGGAAGAGAGGATTTATAAAGGGTTGGCATGAGGCATAATATTGATTCCTGTTGTGATAAAAGATTAGGTTCAGAGAAAGAAAAAAATGACGACAACGCATAAACAGACAAAGGGAAGAAAAAGAGAGAGAAAGAAAGCAGGCGGTGTGGTTGTGAGATATGGGGTATGATTTGAGAGGACTGTGGAGAGACAGAGATAAATACATGCTCAGCCCTCCCCAACGGCGAGATTCAGTTTGTCAGACCGAAACTCCTTCCAAGACGCTTTTCAGATCAGCCACCCCCATGTGGGAGAGAGCTGGCCAGCATCACCCCCTTTACCTTCCAGTGCCAGGCACCCGGCGGTCCAGAAGAAGGGAGTCCCTGGGGACCGGGTCACGGGGTTGGATGTAAGCAGGTGCTGGATGTCAAACGGTGAGGGGAACAGGGAGGGGGGTAATGGAGAGGGATGGAGAGGGATATCCTAGTTCAGTGCATGTCCAGCCATCAGCCAGCGCTGCTGGAGTGAGAGGTGCCTCCCAGCCTGGCAGTTCTGCTGCAGAGCCGTTCCTCTCGTATGCGCGTGGTCTCTCTCAGTCTTCTCCCTCTCACCTTTGCACAGGAAGCTGTCGCTTGCTTGCCTTGTCAGACTGAGACGAGGCCCTGAAGTATCGAAAAGGCTAGCGAGGCCGAGAATAAAAAGCCCCAAACCACGTCCTACTTCCTGCTGGTAAAGTAATAGGTGCAGAAACAAGGGTGGAGGGATCAGGTGTTAGCTTGCAGTGCTCAGATACACTGGGACCAGTTTGTAACTATTGCTGGGAAGCAAAAGAGAGAGAGATAAGGACCTGTCCTCTTGGGACAGCAGCAAGAGACCCATAGCTCCCTCTTTCAGACACCCAGACAGACCACTTGTATCGTTCTCAGGGTCTGCACGTGTGTACAGATCACTTTGAAACCAGGGGTAGGAGTCAATCTGCAATAGAAATATCATGGACCACTTTGTGAAAAATAACCCGAGTCGTTGATCTAAGCAACACCAGAACGAAATCAGCCTCCCTACCAGTGCCCCAGTTTCAGAGGATCCATCCTGGGTCAGAGCGGGAGCGGAACAAGGGCAGTGCTGAGTGTGAGCAAGCTTGAGGCACAACCCTCGCTCTTGCAGCTGGTGTGACACCACAGAAACAGCCATCCCGTGACCTCCATACCCAGCCAAGCACCCCACTTGCTCCACAGAAGCAAGAAACATCCCCTCCAACCTGAGCCTCCCAGCTAGTCCAGACAGGCAACACTGCCCCGCAATAGCTGCAGTGCCTTTTTGGCACAGCTCATCCCTTCCGCAGGCCAGGAGGGATTAAAAAAAATATGTCCACCTTCTTCCAAAGTTTAATGTGACCTCACCTTTGCAGATGGATAACCCTCACAGGCCTTGCTGCGAACGTTTAGTTTTAGAAAATCCTTTTGCCATAGGCAGATGTCTTCCCCAGCACACGTTGCCCTCACTTCCCAAGCTGAGAGAGATGCACAAACACAAATCCACAGCCCGATGGTTGCCTGGTTCATAGATAAGCATCCACATGCATACGTGTCCCCACACACCTCTCTTTTCCCATACACAAATACAGTTCTCTGAAGTGCAGCACATGACGTTTCCTGTCTCTTCTGGACTGCACAAAGATGGCCGCTGGTATGGGGCCAGATGATGAGACTCTCCTTTTATAGACACAGTGGTCACCACGCTCTGTGCTCTTCACCTTTCTCTCCTAGAGCAGCTCAAGGCCCAAGCTCAGGTCCGGCAAGCAGGTTTTGCTGACGAAAAATTGCCAGAGGCTAATCTCAAGTGTCCAGGCAGTTCCTTTTTGAGGACTCTATAAGCCTGGAGGATGTGGCCTCCTTTAACAACAAAGGGATCTTGGTTTTAGGTGTGGAAGGAGGATGAGTTTTTAGTCACAGGCAGTCCAGCCCAGAGACTGGATCTCAGAAGATATTAGCCCTCAAAAAGAAATAGTATTGGAGCAAAACAGTGATTTGAAGGCATGGGCAGAGCTATTTTGAAGGAGGTTGCAGAAGTGGATCCTCATGGCCATTTCTGGGAGAGCATTGCTGTTAACCCAGCATCAAGCACTCACTTAGCCAGCAGTCTCAAGCCCAACACCTCTTTCCTCACCACGCACAGCATGGACCAGGAGTCTGAGAGGTGTCATTTGGATGATCTTGCTAGTCATCTGAAGACTCCTGTTATGGCCACCCTTTGTGAGGGTGGGAATCTGACCAGCCAGCCTCTTTTGAAGAGGAGCAAGGGAGAGGACGGGCTGCATACTCTCTGACTGTGGTAGTTGCACCTTAGAGGGTCCCACCAGGGTGGAGCTGTAATAGCAGGTATCACCAGGGCACAGCCTGCCTTTCCAGGAGCTCTTAAAATGAATGCAGCTTACTCTGGTGCAGAAGTCCTTGGCTGAAGCAATGAAGTGCTCTGTGAGTAACTTCTTGGTATCACCAGCTCTGCAGCTGCAATGGAGTGTTCATCTAAACCATCATTTTTCCCATTTGTCCTTCAGACTGAGAAATCTGAACCTTGCTTCAGACCAGAGATGACTTTGGTGAAGCAAGAGCACAAAGCACCCATTTTTTATTATTTAGCTTATCAAGGACCACCCACACACACACACACTGATTCCCTTTTTTTATTTTTTCCTTTTTTTTTTTTTTAAAAATGTGTAAGAATCAGATGAAGTTGCTTGTGCACTGTGGTACCTGCAATAGTGGAAGAGGAAAACTTAACATGTAGTTAATCCCTAGAGAAGATGAGTGGCTGCTACAGTTGGAAACAAAGATTTATCTGGTCAGCCAATTCACTGGTGACCATTTTTAATAGATCTGGGTCTCTGTGATAGATTCTCATTAAGATATTTTGACATCTAGTAAGGACTGATGTCACACTGAAGAATTCCCCAATGAGCGTCTTAATGGAGAGCCATCTCTCCTCTATCCAGCTACCTTTGCTTAACAGTAGTAAGGGATATGCCTCTTCGTCAACGGTGACTGGAATTGACTTTTCCAAAATTGTGAAGGGAGGGGAAATGGTCTGACGGATCAGCTAGCAGACAGCCAAACACCAATGTGTGGAGACACAGACTGCCTCAGCATGTTTAATTTCCATTGGAAATGCAGTTTAAAATGTACTAAAGCAACAACTGTGTGGCATAAGTAAGAACGGGTTTCCTACACAGGCATGATACCATGATTGTGTCCAGACCCCATCTGATACAGATAAATACACTTTCTGTCAGTACAGCTTTCAGACTTGATTGCCCAGGATGTCATGCTACTGAGAATCTGGCATTTTTTATCTCCTTTACAGCAACATTGTTAGGAATGGTGCTATTTGTAATGTGAGAAGCCAAACAAAACCACATCGTCAGTGACACATGCGAGGTGTTCTTGTGATTACCTTCCTGTCCCCATAACAGTGACTGACAGGGGTGAACTCACTAGTCAGCGTTGTTGTTCAGTGTTAAAGCAGCAGGTAAAAGTGTGGTGTTGGAGGTTTGGTTAAAAGCGTTGTTTGGGCCAGATCGGCGTTTCAGGTGCAATGTAAGTTTTAAAAATCCTCAAAGCTGGGGCATGTGCTTATGCACAGTCTCATCTTTTTCCCTTCGCTCTGCTTTCATTAGAGAAGAGCAGTGCTGCTGAAACTTCTCATTTTCAGTTGCATGTCCACTGAGCATCTCCGCAGAATGGCAGAGGTGAACAGGAGAGCAGAGGGAGTGAAGAAGTATGAAGCAGAAAAATATTGTGTGGTGTCAAATTATCCCATGATTCATCAATTTATTAGCTGTCATTAGGCTAGGCACATCCCTTCCCTTTGCTGGCTCTCAGCTGTGACTGGAGTCCCAGGCTAACTGGAATGCCTTGCCTGTGGTTTACAAACCACTCAGTTCACCAGGGGCGAGCTCAGTGGAGGGCTCAGTAGATCCACCTCAGTGTCCTGTCCCCATGGTGTTCTGGAG